GTGGGCAACTTCATTCTGTTAATCGTAAAATTTCACTCTCATCAATTTTTCATAACGCGCCTAAAGAATAATAATAATAATATAATATAACTCTTTATTTATATAACACCTTAATATGTACAGAGTAAACTAATAAAACAAAAGCGGTGATATAAATCTGCGGCCTTATCGCTGAAAGCGATCTCTTCCAGGCAACCTTGCAGGGAGAGGAATAAGTTAACTGGACGGTGCTATATCTTAATAAACTTACATAAAAATATATACTTAAATACACATGTGAAAAATAAATACAATATAAGATAGATTTACATACGATTAAATACAAATAAATACTAAAAATATACAAGATAAAATACAAAAGAAGTAGGAACTTATACAGTTATATCATAGAAGCAAAGTAGTGCGATTTCAATCTGGACTTGAAAATCAAGTCAAGTCAGTCAAGTATAACTTCAAAAACATAGTTATATAACTATCTATATAAAGTAGAGTTAGCACTCAACAGAACATTCTGTTTATAATTCACGAACAAACCTTTGGCGTAATTAAACATCGCTCACAATTAAAAAAATGTATCTCACATTTTCATCGCTACAGTTATTTTGTACAGACAACAAGAACAAAGAAGGAACAAGTGAGAAATTAATAAAAATTAATTATTCTCGTAATCTTAAACGTACAAGACGCCAAGTTTCAAGTTAAACAGTCTGCGATGCGTGCCTCGAAGCTTGTGTACGGATAGCAAAACAGTTATACAAACATTTATTTTTTTATTTTTAATATATGACAAAACGCGAAAAATACACACATTTTGCTAGCGGTATCGGGTATTTTGAATCTACAACTGTAGTACCTACAACTAGCAATAACTGCTAACCTGCTAAGAGAAGTAACGCATCCTGGTTTGGATGATGAATGGATGATGATGATTGAACAGTTGTTATAAAATGCAATTAAAACTTCCACTTGATATCTCAAGGTCGATGTCTGTACTCATGATGTGAATGAGCTCCGGTGACCATTTAACACATGAGCCATGAGGTCGCCCACCTATAAAACGTAAAACTTTATACTTAAGTTAACTAGTATCTATCCGCGAATACAATATATCTAAAAAAAGCAAAATTTACTTAGGTTTTTTTTATTACTGTGATGGGTCGACGAGCTCACGACCCACCTGGTGTTAAGTGGTTAACGGAGCCCATAGACATCTACAACGTACATACCGCAACCTAGCTCGAGATACGAGTTCTAAGGTATCAGTTTTTACAGTACAACGGCTGCTCCACCCTTCAAACCGAAACGCATTACTGCTTAACGGCAGAAATAGGCAGGGCGGTGGTACCTATCCGTGCGGGCTCACAAGACGTCCTACCACCAGTAATTACACAAATTATAATTTTGCGATTTTAATTTTTATTACACGATATTATTCCTTGACTTATTAAAATAAACTAGAGGTCCCGCAGTAGTCGAAATTCGACTATAATTAATTGGAATAATAAGTTTGTACACTATGTTATGATTGTATTTTATACTTCTATAATCACAAATTTCGCCAAGACTACACTATAAAAAAATATTAATACAGACAAACAATATTTAATCTATTCTCAATTTGACAACAGACGTCAAGAACAAAAGTGACAATAAATAGTATGCATGCGTGTGTGCGTCAAATACATGGTATGTAGTGTGTGTAATGTTTTCTTTATTGATTTAATGTATCTTTTATGCATTAATTTAAAAAAATATTAGCAGTGTCTCATTATCAGCTCTATATTCTCTATAAGTGTGGAAAATTTCATACTCCTCCGTCCGCGCAATTTTCGTAAAAAGGGATACAAAGTTTTTGCTTCACGTATTAATATATAAATAAATTCAACATAATGATAATGCTGACTGTACACATGTACGAGCCATTTATTCGCGTGTTTAATGCGAGAACATATTTTCAATTAAATCGCGGATCTAATTAAATCGGGCAAGTTGCCTGTTTTCGACTTGTACGCGAGTGTCGTTACGAAACGTGCTTAGAACGACCAATTTGTTTTGATCCTTGCTATTTAAATTAAATTTACTGATTTTTCGGCTACATTTACGTTCAGAAGTTAATTTAACAATAAAACTGATAAAACACGTTTTGATAAGTCGGAATCTGTTCTTCAAGGCACGGCAGGGCTCATTTGAATGTTTAGGCATTCTGTTTTTAAAACATGATTGTAAAAGATTTGTACTTTATGTAAGAGAAATTGTGAAAAGAAAATATGAACTCGAAGCGGAAGAAAACGCAGGAAAATCTGATACTAGACAAACAGTCTCTTTCCTCTTCTGTCTTCTTACCACAGGTTGTTGTCATTGTACACGTAGCGTTAGCTCAGAACGAAAACTGCTTTCTTCATATAGAAGCTTATAGTAAAGCTTGCTTATGGCCTATAATACGGCTAATCCATGATAACGTTCAACTTAAAATCGTACACATAATAAAGCTCGTTTAGCTAAACCAACCTGGAGCCACTGCATTCATACACAGTAGTTCAGACTCCTTAGCGTTTCCACTCATTAACCTTTGATAAGCTCTATGGCCCTTTCATTTCCAGTTACAAGCGATGCCATCTTATTTAACCATGTGTGGGTCTGCCTAAGAAAGCGAAAGCATCTTGCTATATAATTCAGAGGCCGTGAATAAACAAGAACAGATCAGAGTTCAACGTTACTGGTCGCTCGATACATTCGCGAGAATACAAATGACTCTACTTAAAACTTTTATGAGTTTACGGTATAATTTTAATTAGCGTTTTAACGGTTTTACATTTTAAACAGATGCTCTTTAATCGTTGTTACAGCGCGAACGTTGAATTTGTTATGATCGCATTTACGGAGTGCTTACTTTGATTGATAGAGTCGTATGACTCTATTTTCACTTACCTCTATTTATGTACATATATGTAGTAAGCGCGATCTTGACGACGACTAAAGTGGCGGATGAAAGGCGATTGCATGCAGCAGAATTGCGAATGTTGCAATGGATGTGTGGAGTAACGTGAATGGATAAAATATGGAATGAATATGTTAGAGGAAGTCTGAAAGTGGCACCTGTGACAGAGAAGCTGAGAAGTGCGCGTTTGGAATGGTATGGACATGTGATGAGACGAAATGAAAATGAGGTTGGTAAGAGAGTGTTAGCTATGAATATGGAAGGATATAGAGGAAGAGATAGACCTAAGAAGAAATGGATGGATTGCGTGAAAGACGATATGTGTAAGAGGGGAGTGAGCGAAGAAATGATATATGATAGAAGAGTATGGAAGGAGAAAACGTGTTGCGCCGACCCCAGGTGACTGGGAGAAGGGCAGGAGAATGAATGAATGAATGATGATGTAGTAAGCGCGAATACTGTAAAAATGATACAGCTAAACAGTTCACCCTTAGCCTTGAAGAATCACAGATGACTGAATTCATTATTACAGAGTTCGAGATGGAATGTGTGAAATAGATTACTAAAACAATAAAGATTTATTTAAATATTTATTGTTGTTAACTCTACTTAACATGGTTATTGTATGTCGCTAGTAAAATAATACTAACATAAATTTATATGTAATCACAGAATGTAACAAACAAATACATCGTTAAAGCTCACACCAACCCTTATTTAAGTCATAAAAAGCTGTTCAATAGAACCCGTGAAATTTTAAATAAATAGTCCATCGCAGCTTGTCATATAAGCGCGCACATTTTGGAATTACCATGCTGCCTAATTCTGCTTCGAAGACGTCGTATATTCCAGTTTGAATGATGGAACATCAGTTATAGGATACATTGGCTTTGGTATCATGTTTCAAAGTGGGTGGCGGTAATCGAATTGCGGTACCCATGTGTTACTATTACCACTTAACACTGTGCTTCTTCTTTCTTCTTTCTGGTCGTTCCCTCAATGCTGAGGATCGTGACTGTATGTCAATCTTCTCCACTCGGTCCGGTTCTGCGCCATATGTACAATATAACACTGTGCTTAGAGTGAGTTTTTTTAACGTTCTCTAACGTTCTCTACGTAGCGTAAAAGTTAACTCATTTTTGTATGGAGTTGGAACAGCGCCCCTGGCGGCAAACGTAGGCAACTCCATCCAAATTTGAGTTAACTTTTACGTTATCGAGAAAGTTAAAAACTCACATTAAGCATACACTAGGTGTGACATGAGCTTGTTCAGCTACAAAGAAGTAAAAAAACGATTAGTAACTACGACTAGTAAAAAGCTCTACGAAGACTTGCCTAGTTGCAGTACACACTCTGAGCCCTACGTCACGCCTATTTCTGTCAAGTTCTTGAATTACTTTATAAAATACATTTGATAGTTCGTACATCACGACTTTAAAGCGGCTAGTAGTATCTACTGCGACCTGCCCTGGTACAGGAAAACATAATTTACGCTTGGCACGAATAATATTTTTTTATTTATTTATAACTTCTTATACTAGAAAGTATAAAGGCTGACTTAATGCCATAGGCATTCTCTAACAGTCTACCTTAGGGGAGTGCAGAGATGAAGTTTGGTAGGTGTAGTGTGAAGGTGATATTACTTAAACATATGTGTATATATAACATACATAATATTTATAGATACAAATACTCGTAGTTAAATAAATACATATACATATACATATCATAAATATATACATATAAAAACATATATAAACAAATATTATCAATTAGATGACTCTGCTAACTCTCTGAGAAACAGTTCTCGAACCTTCGTCTTAAACGCTTCACGTGTAGTGGCCGTAATAAGTTGTAGATAGAAAACATGAAACGAAAATAGTTGAAATTCCACATCTCAATGATTCCAATGTTGTTTGGTAAACACAAACACAGCGATCTAAAGTGAATACGCGAAAAAAAACGTATTTACAAAACAATATCTCAGTGTGAGAAACGTTTTGAATCAACATTCTTATTGTTTTGCGCACTGTACATCTGAGTTTCGTATTAGTCAAACGACATGGATCGTAGGAAGTGGTTGATGCTATTTTTTATCGCGAATATAGTGTTCATTGTTGTTAGTGTAAATTTTTCATTTTGAAGTTATTTACGACTAAGTAATAACTAGCTGAATGTCATTTACTGGTTGTTGAGTATGAAGAAGCTACCACCATTCTGCCAAATCGTACCGTGAAACAGTCACGTGGTTCGGTTTGAAGACCGGAGAACCCATCATCATCATCATAGTCGGTCACTCTTGGCAGAGCAGTCGTGGTCATGTGGAATTCTTGCTTATTAAAGGGAGAACCCATTTTACACCAAAATTTAGACTTTAACCTCATGTTTATCTGATGGTGGTGGGTTCCAGGTTATGTTTAAGAAATTAATCACGTATTCAATACAAGGCTTAGAGCACTCTTTTTTTATTGCCCTTGTAGACAAACGAGTATACGGCCCACCTGATGGTGAGTGGTTACCGTCGCCCATGGACTTCAGCAATGCCAGGGGCAGAGCCTAGCCGCTGCCTACCGCTGAAAAATATATGTATATGTAGAATTGGGAACGTGTCACATAAAATAATATTGTGTAATAATGTATAATGTTTATTCTTGTTTATTTAACCGTCTTCGCCATCTTCCATTTTTCTGTTATTCTGTGTTCTCTTTTCTCCTTTCCCTTTTCGCTTTCTTACCGTTTTCTCTCACTCACATCTTAACGCTCCGTTCCACATTCTTATCATACGTTCCATTCTTACCAATCCTACATCTTACAATCTTAAATATAATTCAATTATGAACCATTATGACATTCACACTTAATGTGGCAGTATTTTTGACTTATGACTACAGCAAAAAAGAACACTCTATCAGTGGTCAAACAAACAAATGAAATTTGTTCTATAATTTCAGGGAGCATGGAAATCAAGTACAGAAGATTCGAATCTTCCGCGAGAAGCAAGAAGAGGTGTCCACTACCACTCCAAACGGCATATGCTTCCTAAGGAAGTAGATCGAAAAAGAAGAATTAGCACATCAAAACCTGGACGAGAGCTCAGGAAAAAGGTACGCTAATATTTGATTAATAGTTGTTGGGGGCATAAGACTGATTCGGTGGTGCAGTAATTAGCGCCCCTGACTGTTGCGCCAAAGGTTGTGGTTTCGATTCCCACATCAAGCAAACATTGTGTGATAAACAAGTTTGCTTTTTGTCTGGGGGTTGATATATCTATATATTTATATATTTAAACGTATATAAGTATGTTTATCAGTCTCTGGCATAGTACAGGAAATCGCAAATTGGGGCCGGATGACTCGGCGTGATTTGTTCCCAGTTATTTGATATTATTATAAATAGAAGATGAAAATTAAAATTTAAATCTTGTACTATTTCAAAACCGGCATATCACATCACATCGCACATAAAGGGTAGAGCTATTGTCTTATAACCTATCACGACAACATTGAAAAGTTGCATTAGATAACGGCTATCCCGACTTCGGACGTATGTAAATGTGTTGTGTTAATGTGCAATGTAAATTTCTTTTTTGTAATAAGCCATGATGACTTATAGTATAATAATAAGTCTACCACTAATTCTAAAGATTCAGAAGGATGTAAAGATAAAGATAGTTAGCTTAATGAGAATGCTGCTAATTGGTATGGAGTAGTTGTAATAGTAGCTCGTAAAGCCTTATTTCTATTCCATCAACTTCATCTAGAAAGAATATTACTATTGAAGTCTATGTAAGGATGTATTTTATTTAAATGTGGCATTTTTTCAAATTTCACAGCCTGCAGGTCATTTGAAACCCTTAGAAGACGATGACATGGAAAACGATGAAGTTGTATCAGTAGCCATTGGTCCACCACCCATGAGGCCAAAATTCGAAAAGCCTCATAAACGTCCTCCACCAGTAAAACCAAAGCCTAAAATCAACAATACTACCGCCATAAACTTTGCAAAAGACATTTTACAACAATTAGGTACTGAGTTCATATTTCACCAAGTTAATGAAGATTTCGTGTTTGGCCAATTTATTGGGAATTCGATTAGAAATTTGACGAGTGAGTTGAAGATTAAAATGCAACATGACATACTGGAGTTGATAATGAAATATCAGAGGTTGAATCGTGGCGATGTTCCAGTGAAGCCTGAAGAAAAATACACTACACACGGTTTGAAAGATATCAAAGTGGAAAAGAAAAGTAATGATACAGAAGAATCTTGGCCAGATTTTACTAATTTGGCCAAAATTGTTGGTTGAAACCTTTTAAGGTGCACTTCTAAAAATTAAAGACTTTTTATTTATTTATTTATAAATCTTACACTTTCTTCGTGAATATCCTGTAAAATGAGATATTTTTGGGGACTTAGTCTATGAAGCCCTATATTGAAATATTTCCACCAATCTGGTAGGGTGAACATATTAGAATCCAGTGTTATCAAAAAATTTACTATTTAAACAGATTTTGTTAATTTGTGCCGTTTGTTTTCTTCTCACCTTCATCATCATCAACCCATAGACATAGCTGGACATAGTCTCCATGATGACCATTTTGGATAAACTATACTAAAATCAAAACGACACTAAGACTGACCATGTGTGTCGAATACTTTAGATGCGTCGTAGTATCTAAACTAAAATCTTCTTTTTCTCCACCTTATCCCACTAGGTGGGATCGGCACAGCAAATTTTTCTCTTCCATTCTCTTCTATCAGCCGTCATCTCAACACTCACTCCTCTCTCTCTCTTACATCGTCATTCACACACTCCATCTATGTCTTCTTTGGTTGACCTCTTCCCCCTCTACCTTGCACTACGATTTCCATACATCTCTTAGTCACATGCATCTTCTCTCTACGCATCACATGTCCATACCACGTTAACCGTCCGCTCTTTAATTTGTTGTCAAAACTAAAATAGTAACAAAAAATACATCTTTGTAAAAATACACAACACGATAAATCCCCCTATTCGCAGATCCTTATCATAAATCAAGTCAGGAATATTTTAACGCCATAAGTTTCAACCACGTTGCTTCTGCGAATCGTTGTTATAATCCATAATCTGATTAATGGTTTTAATCGGATTATTTCGGGGCTTTGAAAGCCTCCGAGTTACGGTCTCGTAAAAGCTTGTCCGAGACTACGTGATTTAAAATTTTATGTGTAGTTGCATGCAGTGTAGCGTATTTAATGTGTTTATTTATGAAAAAGTATTTAAATAATTGAACGCACTCTACAATAATCAGTAGAAAAAAATAAATTATTTGTGATAAAATTGTTTTTGAATCATACTTTTCAAATAATTTTTAGCACAGACAGGCATCGCTTCGAGCGAATAATGTTACTTCTCTTTGCAAAAGAACTTGTCTTTGTAGAAAAGCAACTTGGCTTGGAAGACACTACGTAAATTCTGATATTTCTTATATTAAAATTTATATTTGTTTGTTCAACTATAACAAGGTACACCTTGGGTTTTCTCGAGTCGCTATATATTTAGAAACATATATGAATATAGACATATATGTACTTTTACGGACGACTGATGTCGGTGACCACGGTAAGTGTATGTAAAATATTCGAACGTTGAAGATAGTATTATGAAGAAGACGTGATTGAACTGTAAAAGTAATTTTAAATAACACCCCCCCTCGCATGAGAAAGTGCTTAATTATTGGTGACTTACTTATTAGTATTACAACAAAACAATCTCTACATATAAAAATGAATTGTTGTTCGTTAGTCTCGCCAAAACTCGAGAACGGCCGAACCGATGTGGCTGATTTTGGTCTTGAATTATTTGTGGAAGTCCAGAGAAGGTTTAAAAGGTAGATAAATATGAAAATGCTCGGAATTAATAAAAATAACAAATTCGTTTTTCCTTTGATGTGTTCCCCGTAGGACGGATTTCTTTTGTTTGTTTTATGTTTATTTTATACAAAAGCTTAGGTCTTTTATTTATCGATTGAGGCACTACGAAGTCTGCCGGGTCAGCTAGTCTCGGATAAAAATGCCACAACAATATTTTTATTATAAATCGCAAAAAGAACAACACAAACAAATTTAGTTACCTGAAGAATTTTATTTATAATACAAAACACTGTTGATGGTCAAAAACTAATTTTAACATAATATTCGCATAATACTCTAACATAAACAAAATATTTTTACTCTTGGTGTATTTACTGTTAGTAGGCATATTTTAAGCAGCGCCGAAACAAAATTAATTACACAAATTCATAATAAGTTTATTGAGGTCGCACTATTTGATGCGAGAACATTATGGCCCGAACATCCAACCATTTTTACTGGTGGTAGGACCTCTTGTGAGTTCGCGCGGGTGGGTACCACCACCCTGCCTATTTCTGCCGTGAAGCAGTAATGCGTTTCGGTTTGAAGGGTGGGGCAGCCGTTGTATATATACTTGAGACTTTAGAACTTATATCTCAAGGTGGGTGGCGCATTTACGTTATAAATGTCTATGGGCTCCAGTAACCACTTAACACCAGGTGGGCTGTGAGCTCGTCCACCCATCTAGCAATAAAAAATAAAAAAAACCACGGATTCTCATTGGAGTTTTAGTCACACACGTGAATGACGCCGTCCTCTTTGAGATATAAGATCAAAGGCACAATTGCATTAGAGTAATTCGATTTCCAGTGGATGGCACAATAATATTTTCTCCATTCGTTGAACAACAAAATGGTTACAAAAGAAATAGCGCGGTATATAACTTGGTCTTCTAAAAGATGCTTTACCAGCCATTCTTCGGAGTTCGCAGAATAAAACAAAACCCGTCACTCCCTAGGGCCATTAGTCAGAGCACTCTAGCACTCCTTCTATTTGTATAATACATATGACTAAATAGTGTAAGACAAAGACGCTATTTCGGTCTGTCTGTGCGCTAAAATATACAATGGATTTTGATACGATCTTCATCATCATTTAGATTTGAACTCAGATGTTTAAAAGTACAACATATACATAATAATATGTGTTCGTACAATATTGAGCATTGTCCATGTTTATTCTTGCCTATATAAATAAATTAAATGAGTTTTTTTTTTTAAATAGTAATTGCGGTTTTAAGAATAAAAGCAAATGAGTTATGTATGTAAATCCCTTATGTCTTGTCAGAACCCCAGGATTTACTTTCATCATCATCACCATCATCTTCATTAACAGCCCACAGTCGTCCACTGCTGGACATAGGCCTCTCCCAATCTACACCACTGAGCCCGGTGGTAACGATAACTTTACTTTCGGTGCTTTTAAATCACTCAAGCACTGGTCACCGTCTTCGTCGAACTAATCGAACTAATCGACGAGCGAACCAACCCATAGACACAGCCCACTGAGTTTCTCGCCGGATCTTCTCAGTGGGTCGCGATTCCGATTCGGTGGTAGATTCTGCGAAGCACGGCTCTTGCTAGGGCTAGTGTTAGCATCACTTCGATTTGAGCCCCATGAGCTCACCCATTAGCTAAGGTTACGCTGAAATAGCCTCTTAAGGCTATCAGATTAGGTAGGGGAAAAAAAGAGATCTTTTCTACCAAGATCAAATGAACTAAACGATTTATAGTAAAGTATTTGTGGAGTACTACAACAATATCGCCTATACCCAGTGCATGAGTGTTTTTTTTTTTTTTTATTGCTTAGTTGGGTGGACGAGCTCACAGCCCACCTGGTGTTAAGTGGTTACTGGAGCCCATAGACATCTACAACGTAAATGCGCCACCCACCTTGAGATATAAGTTCTAAGGTCTCAGTATAGTTAAAACGGCTACTCCACCCTTCCAACCGAAACGCATTACTGCTTCACGGCGGAAATAGGCGGGGTGGTGGTACCTACCCGCGCGGACTCCCAAGAGGTCCTACCACCAGTGTGAGTGAGTTGAGGACTAACTCGATGCTTAGTGCCGAATGGAGGCCATAAATCACAAATTAAATACCAGCTTGATATGCGAGGTTGAAATTTAGCCCACGAGCTTACTTACCCGTGTAGTGTTGCGGAATAGCCCCTTAGGCTACCAGCGAATAGGTATGGAAAAAACTATATCTATGAAGAGTGCGTCACTGATTTAGTTAGACGCTACAGAAGAGACAAAGTACATAGTTGTTTGAGAAGTGGATAGATTTGGTTTTAGATAGAATCTACCTGGCTTTCAATACAATACCCTGGTTCTCTCACGCCAATCCGGGGCGGGGTACTAGTCTTTTATGCATTGTCTTGTGAATCAGCAAAAGTTTTACTTCTTGGTCGAGATGCAGATATTCTAAAGTGTCTGTTATAATATGTTTATGAACTTTATCGTGAGATAGCGCACAAGATTCGCCCTTAATGTAAGTAACTCTATGCGTAAAATGTTTCACTTAGAACTAAAAAAAAATTATATACACATTAATTTGCATCATATTCATATCGCTTTAAAAATTTCAAATCCAAATTATTTTCAAAAGCAAACTTCTCATTTGCCTTTATTGAGCTAAAACCACCCTTACAATTATATAATAGAGTTGAATTTCCTTTTCTTTTTGGATAATTTATCCGACATAACATTTCACTCGTATTTCGACATTACATTCGCTTTAATGCCTTCGGGAAAAAAATCGGCGGAACATAATGCGCGGTCGCACGAAAAATATTCCAACTAGAAAATTTAAGCGAACAATTTCGAGACAAAGAGAAATTTTTCACATTTTAAGTGTAATACTAGCGTGCATTTTACATTTACGAAGAAATGCGTCATGGAATATAAAAAATACTAGATAGGTTAATCGAGGGCTGGTGGTCGTGGTGCCGACGACCGCCGGTCCGGCGTCCCGAGGGGGAGGGTGATGGGAGAGATGTGCTCCGCACTCAACGCTTCACTTTCCCCACTTTGCCTTTTCATGAGTTCTATCCTATGCGAGGTTTTTCTTTAATTTACAAGCAAAACAGGAGGGAAAACCCATCATGGACACCTAGCACTACCCGGACTCGGGCAGCGCTGGACTCCAACCAGCTAAAACTTCCAATTTTGCCTTCACAATTTTTTTCCCATGTCGTTGACTTGGCTCTTAATATTACGTTTGAATTTATTTATTTATTTTTATTTTTACCTAATGTAAGGGCTATGGATCGAGAGTTTTTACTTAATTTTTGCGTACAGTCTTACAATCCTAAAGCTTACACATCTATTTTTATAAATAGTTTCAATTTTTGCATAATGGTCTTTTTTTTTCAGGTTATATTTCTTATGCTAACACAATTTGTCTAAC